AAAATCCATGGGGAATGTGGAAAGTAAAGTTGGTGTTTCGTTTATTAAATTAGCTTTAATCTTCATATTCAGATATAATAGTCGCCCAAAAGAGGTAAATATAGTTTTCCTTCGAGCAATGGTTCAATTTCATATATAATGAGAAACATATTCATTGTAATATAATTTGGATTGTCAATCGGATCAGGTGGTAATTAATGTAAACTTTCAATAGTTATAAACCACCCTGTGTGGTCTAGAGTCTAGATGATGTATCATTTGTTAAATTCTTACTAATCTTGAATGTGCAAGACATCAATTAGCCACTCATTCTTACAAAGCTCAACAATCAGAAATGAGTAGACCATCTTAGTTGCGTTAGCTACAATTTTTAGAAACTACTTAACTATTATATGAAAAATAATTTATTCTACTAATTTTGGATTGCCATTTTGTCGATAGTAAATTAAAGGAGTTGTAATAGTTTGAACCACCGCGGAATTTTTACGATGTGTCAGTATATAATCATTTCAAATCATAATGATATCACTGTCACAGACCACCAAACGACCCCACAAAAGTGATTGCATCTTTTCCAACTATTTGGTAATAATTAAAAAAAAAAAAATTGGCATAATAAATATGAATGCTTACTTGGTCAAATTGTAATTAAAAGTGCATACAATGCCACAACGTTATTGATTATATAATTTTGACTTCGCGGGTTGTACATTGGCTACAGATTAAAACCGATTTTGACCGATCGAATAATTTTTTTATAATCTTTAACTCAAAATTCAACTCACATTTAAATCCAACTCTCTTCAATATTATCAATATAATTAAATAATATCAATCATTCATCATCACACATCACATCAACTTTAATACACTTTTTATCCACTCACATATTTTTAAATATCTATCATTTCCAATAATCTCTCTCATACTTTTACATCACATTACTTTTAATCATTATATTTTAAATATTATTTAAATACAAACTCAAAATCTCATTCAATCCTCCACTCGATCAATTTTTTTAAAAATTAACTCACTTTTAACTTAAATCCCAATCAAAATCGGTTTGATTTATATTTAGTCGCTCTTAAGTAATTCTTCATCGATATTTTTTTATTAGAAAAAGCTCAACTAAATAAAATAGAATTATGATTTGGCCTAATAGTGATAAAAGAGAAATGGAATTAAGGAGAAACTAATTATCCATATGATTTGAACTTTATGTTGTCTAGGTCCCACGACTCAATAGTCAATACATAGTAGAAAGGTTGATATTAGACATGTCTAATAAAGTCAAATATGATTTTGCGCTCTTCAATCCTCTTTTCAATTTCATGTTTAGTCCCTATGCATAATATTTATGCAGTACACTCTCTCACACTTGCATTAAGATATTAAATCATTTATTATTTCGAAAATATCCTTATAATCATTTCATTTCAAAAAACGTAGTACCACTTTTGTAATAGTTATCGGACCTATTTAATATGTTAATTGTACTGTCTACTTTAAATATAAGTAGTACCTAGTCTCTCAGTACCGGATTTCATTCTAACGAGTACTTCCAATAGTTTGTATAATACTAAGCCTAAATGACATATAATTTATAAACTTAGACTATACGTATAATAAGATTAATTAAAAAAAATTAATGAATTATATATAAATTATTATTATAGCACAGTCTATATAATTATTATAGCAAAGGCTATATTGTCAATATTATCATTTAAAAAGTTCATTGAAAAACCATATGTATAAAAAAAATCCATATGATAGTAATTAATAGTGCAAAATTAACTATCTTTGACTTTCCATTTGGTAGTAATAATAAAATATTTTATATTACTACTATTCAATAAAATGCATGATTTCTGCAGATTTGATTATCGCAATCAACATTCTGTTTTATGAATTAAAAAGTGTGCTGAATAAATTGTCTCATATTTTTCATTAAAAAAAATGTTGGCAGTGATAAATAATATTATTTCACAATTATAAATATAAATATGATTAATTTTCATTAAACAACTCCTCTTTAAGAAAAAAGTGGCGGGACAAATTTCTGCATGATTATAGCATCAAAACATATCCAAAACATCAATGTTTCAATGCATTAAAAACCATACTTTCAGCAACAGAAAAGTCATATTAAACGAAAATTGGCAAAGTCAAAGAATGAGGATTGACAAGGCATTGTATGTAATGACATTGTATGTAAAGACAGATTGTTGCATAATATAGAAATATCAAGCATAATTAATAATCAATAAAAATAAAGTCAAATCTATATGAAAAAATCAAAATTAAAAACACGGCAAATTATGTGGAACATTATTGGACACTATACAATATAGAAAGAAAAATAATTTGATTTCCCTATCATTATCAACACATTCAACTTTTACCAAGACATCTGCCTTTATACTAAAATCGAATTTTTGCGTAAAAGTTTTAAAAATAAAAATTCCTATAGATTCTTTTAAACATTAAACAAGAAATTCCTAATATGCGATAAATATATCTAAACAGATTTGTTATAAACTTACCTAATATTTCCAAATTTTGAACAAAATACTAAAAACTTTGAAAAACTTCGGCAAAAGACTTTGAACAACTTCGAAAACCTATTTTGAACAAGTGTTAGCAAAGCTTCACTTACTTAATTTTTAGGGTAACCAAAATCAAGAATTTTTTAGGGTAACCAAAATCAAATATAAAACAGGTCAATGATAACATGACTATAAATAGAGATAAACTCCTTGAGAGTGATGTAAGCTATTTTTTTTGTTTGATGTCGGCGCTTCTCTCGTTATTCACTCTGTCTGAAACCCTAATCCTTAACCCAATCTTACGACAAACTCGGCGAGATTCAATAGAAAACAAATGTTTTACCGGAGATTTTCTTCCAGTAAAGGCTTAAAAAATTAAAAAAAAAAACATCCGAGAAATGTTTTTTTTTTTCAAACAGTAGTGATCGAAAAATAAATATTTGTCCCGATTTCTTAATCTTTGTTGCTAAATCTTAACAGGTCGGTCAAAATCGGATGATAATATTACAAATCTATGAAGAGCTGAAATATTTTTTGTTAAACGTAGTTTTTATTTTTTATTATTTTTAATGATCTGTGTCATTTTTTGAAATTCTTTGTGAATAAGCTTCAAAGATATATAATATTTTATACATAATTCAAAATTATTTAGATGTTTTTCGAAATCGTTTTTCGAAGAGAACATGACATTGCTCGAACTTTTTTCAAGCTTTTATGTATTTTGTTCAGGGTTTGAAAAAATAGATAAGTTTCTAAAAGATCTATTCAGCTCTACTAACAAATATATAGGTAAGTTTATAACATATCTTTTCATATCTGTTTATAACATACATATGTAACTTTTATGTATTTTGTTCAGATTTTGAACACTAAATAGTTCAATTCTTTCTCGTCTTTCTCTTTTAATTTGGGCTTCTTTTGTCATTCAATCAATATATTTTTGTATGGCCCAAAAATTGCCATTTTGTTGAATGTCTTTAATATTTGTCACATATCATTATTTATCAACCAAATACAATTATTTATTTTATAATATTTTGCTGGTATTTTTTTAGTATTTTTTTTTAAAAAAAATTCCTATATGATCTATAGTACAAAATACAATAATTATTTCAAAAAATAAAACCATTATATGTCTTAATTTGAAGATA